TAACTCATTGTTTTCCAGCACTGAATACTATTCTGTTGTCTGGATGTACCACAGTTTATTCATTAGTTCACCTACGCAAGGACATCTTGACTGCTTCCCAGTTTTGGCAATTATGAATGAAGCTGCTATAAACACCCATGTGCAGATTTCTTTGTGAACCTAAGTTTTCCACTCCTTTGCATAAATACCAAGTAGTGTGATAGCTGGATTGTATGGTAAAAGTATGTTCAGTTTGGTAAGAAATTTCTAACATTTTGCATTCCCTCTGACACCAAATGAAAGTTCCTACTGCTCCACGTTCTTGCCAGCATTTGGTGGTATTAGTGTTTTGGATTTCTGCCATTCTATTAGGTACACAGTGGTACTGCATTATTGTTTTACCTTTTTTTAACTGCAGTAAAGTACACATATATAAAATTGGCATCTTAACCCTTTTTTAAGTATACAGTTCAGTAGTTTTAAGTACCTTCACACTGCTGTGCAACCAATTCTCCAGAATTCTTCTCAGGTTGCACAACTGAAACTCTACACCCACAGTACTAGTTTGCTAGGGCTGCATAGTGAAATACCACAGACTGGGTGGTTCAAACACGAGAAATTTATTTTGTCTCAGTCCTGGAGACTTGAAGTCCAAGATCATGGCGTGGGCGGGCTTGATCTCTTCTGACATCCTCTCCTCGGCTTGCAGACAGTGGCCCTCGCCTGTCCTCACCCGCGCTGCCCTCTGCGTGGGCATCCCCGCTGCCCGTGGGTCCAGCCTGCCTCTTCTCACACGACACCAGTCAGACTGCCTTCGCTGACTCTAATGGCCTCGTTTTAACTGAATCATCTCTTTGAAGGCCTTGTCTCCAAATACAGTCACATTCTAATGTACCCGGGGTGAAGACTTTTACATAGGGATTTTGAGGGAGCACAACTGAGCCCCAAAACACCCACGAAGCAACAACTTCCCATTCTCCCCTCCCCCAGCAACAACTCCTCTGCTTTCTGTCGCTATGAACCTGAGTACTCCAGTTACTTCATGTAAGTGGAATCATACAGCATTCGTCTTTGTGTGACTAGCTAAGGTATTAAAGGTTCACCTATGCATGTGTCAGAAATTCGTTCCTTTTTAAGGTCGCATAACCTTTCATTATACATATATGTCACATTTTGCTTATTTAATTCATTTGTGGATGGACCCTTGGGTTGTGTCCACGTTTTGGCTATTGTGAATTATGCTGCTAAGAACACAGGTATACTGGTATCTGTTCAAGACCCTGTTTTCAATTATTTGGGGTATATACTCACAAGTGAAATTGTCCTGTGAAGATTTAAGCATGTACTAAAGTAATGGCTGTTCCACCTAAATCCCTCTCCTTAGGATAATCCTTGCTTTATTCTGTAACATCATATCTTTGCTCAATATCACAAACTAAGGCCTTAGAGTAAATCATGTATTTCTTGCAGGATATGTATTAATCAGCTAATCATAAATGAGTGTGAGTCAAGGACCTGTGAGATAAGAAACACCATAAATATTTTATCCTATGAATCCAGGTATCATTCAGGCAATTGATAACTTGAACAATTATAATAAAAGATAAGGAATCGAGCATACTTTAAAAAGTTGATTATGGCATCAAAATCGCAAATATAAAAACCTAGTTATAATAGGAATATTCAAAAAAATATATAGACAGTCATAATTATCCTAATTAACTTAAATTCTTAGTTCTAGAAAAATAGAACTAGTTTAATTTATGAAATATTATGGAATTTGTCATCAATATCTTCATTTTCAATGCAGGAGATTAATACTTTCTGTTCTATCATGAGTAGAGGTATAATAAAAATAATCATGCATTTTTCTTTCAAGAAAGATTCCATGCCCTTATACAGATAAAAAACTTAATAAGAAATTAACTTTTTTAGGAATACTGAAAGGCAGTATAGCACAGAAAATAAGAATAAATGGTCTAGTTTCAAGTCACAGCTGTCACTTTCTACTGTGTGACATTAGGCAAGTTACATAACCTACCAGTTTTCTCATCTGTGAATTGGGGATGATAAGCCCAAATTTCTAAAGTTAGGAGGATAACATTAGTTAATATATGTAAAATGCCTGGCACGTACTAAGCTTGCAATAAATGCCAACTACTAACAGCATAAATTGACAAACCACATAAATGGATAGGACCATGACGTAACTTGTCATCTCACTGGAATAAAGAGAGAGTAACTACCCCACTCCCACTGTTGTAAAGGAGGCTATATGGTGGGGGTGTAGGAGGAAGATATTGAATAAAAATTATCTTAAACTACTTGGAAGGTGTTTCCATTCCCTCCTTATGGTTAAATTATACTAGAATAGCTTTATTAGAATGTGTTTGCTTTGTTAAGCTATGTCCTCAATTAGTTATATTACTAAGAAGAAAGGCATCACTAAGATACAGCATTATGTTCTTATTCTTCAGTAGTATATGTCCTAAGTTAGGAAAGAAACAGCATCTACGTGGTGTGGATATTTTATGGATATCTAAGACACTTGGATGTGATGATTAATATTATTTTTTATAGTCATGATATTCACAGAAATCTTTAATTAATTGCTCTTAAAAAATATCAAGTGTATAAGGTTGAAATAGACCACCCCCAAGTAAGAATGGAAGAAATACACTACTCCCAATTAAGAATATAAGAGATAATGATTTTATAACTATTTTCAAATTAGAGAAACTTATCAAAGTCAATCCATCTTCAACATGTATCATCAAAAGTCGTTATGAGTTTTTACAATGGTGCACAGTAAGAAACATCATTGGAAAGATTTCAATATAAGATTTTTATAATGTAAGATTTTACACATATATAAGCAAATGTAAATAAATGAAGTTTACAAACATATTCATATATATGTAAAAAAGAATACTGTTTTTTCAAATTGCCTTCTACAAGTAAAAAGTCATTAATATACTGAGATCTACTGTTACTGCAGAAACTTTTAGGAAAGTTTCAGGATGAATGAAACAAAGCTGTTATGAAATATTAAAACTCCACTTCCCGCTCACTGCCTTTTTGACTTCTGGACAGCGAAATCTGACCACCGATGAAACAGGAAGACCACAAAGAATTGAGGGAAAAGCAAGGGCAAAGTTCCATCCTATTCCAAGGAAATTGTAGAAGCCCTCACAGTCAGCCCTCAGAGCTCAGTTTCATCTGGAAAACCCCAAATTTTCCTGATTCCCTACTGAAGGCACAGGCTACAACTGAATTTCTAGATTGTGAATAGCAGTTTGCAAGCTGTGTTGTGTAACATCCCTGGCTTTCACCAATGACCTCATGACTTCCTGTGAAATTCTTTAAACAGAATCCAATTTAGTTCATAACAATTTAAATACTATTATATATGCCATAAACCACTTTGAGGGAGGGACAGAGCTATGGAGGAAAGAGCTGTGGGTGGGGGGACGGTGGGGAAGAAAAGGACCAGAATTTCCAAAGGTGTGGGAAAATTCTAGGCATAACACTTCCAAAAGAAAAGACTATAAATCACCTCCAGAAATGCAAAATTTGTGCATCATGCCTTGTTTGTATAAAGTAGAACAATTCAGATAACTCAACAATCACTTACTGAACACCTACTACACCCAGGAGATGGAAAGGACATTCCAAGACACACCTCAGCTCCTGGGATAACCTGAGAGGAGGGCTCCTAGCAGGGGCCATCAAGCTGGCCTCTTTTTTGGAGTTTCAGGTCAGGGAGAACTAGAAGACCCTCTCTGCTCAGACGCTGCAGCCTACTTTCAGCACAGCCTTGATAACTGCAGCCTTCAAGGGAGGTAAGGTTGTTCCAGCACTCCCTTAGGGGCTAGGACCAATCGCCCGTGTCAGACCAGATTCAGGAGTAAAGCCTAGGAAAAGCCTGCGATGCTTACTGACTCATTAGTAATATTTGTTTGTTCTTAAAGCTTTAGTTCTACTTAAACTGGGTGTTCTGGCTGAATTTTAATTCAAATGATCACATTCTCTTGCTCCTGAGCGCTGTGGAATCCTTCCAAATCCGGCCTGGAACGGTTAAGTCACTTTGTTTAACGGAACAGCTTTTGATGCATGTTGTTGTTTGAAAATTCTGAAACTGTAGTAACAGACCAAGCACACGGTCTCAGGAAACCGGAGAGTTCACAAGGCGCTTCCACCTCTTTTGGTGTAAGTTATTGAACTTCCCCTCGTCGTGTGACGACAAGTCTCACTTTTATAAATGTGTGTCAGATACCAAATTAAGTCGCAAATCAAACATCCCTTTTAGTTATCAGGGTTATGAAAAGAAGTGTAAGAGCGAGAGGTGTTTTTATTTACTATTATTATTTTAAGAAGAGAACTGAAGAGTTCACTTTGTTTTTGTTTCATCCAGGAGAGGTGGCAAACTCGGGTTTTGTTTGCTTGCTTCAGATACCAAATTAACTCACAAATCAAACATCCTTCTTGGTCATCAGGATTGTGAAAAGTGTAAAAGAGGTGTTTTTATTTACTATTATTAAGAGGACTGAAGCGTTGACTTTTTTGTTTGTTTCATCCCGAAGAGGTGGCAAACACCGGTTTTGCTTGCTTGCTTCAGATAGCAAATTAACTCACAAATCAAACATCCCTCTTAGTCACCAGGACTGTGACAAGAAGAGGGAGAGGTGTCTTTATTTACTATTATTATTTTAAGAGGAGGACTGAAGAGTTCACGTTTTGTTTGTTTCATCCAGAAGAGGTGGCAAACTCGGGTTTTGCCTGCTTGCGCGTTTTCAACAACCGACAGACGCCCTCACAGGAATCGCCCACGAAAGCCGCCAGTCCGCACCGGTGGAGACCCCCCGGGCGCCCCGGCCCAGGCCCTGCGCGCTGAGGTGAACGCCACGCGGGCGCCGCGGCTCTTTGTCGGCGGCGCGGCGCGGCGCGGCCCCTGCTCACGCCCCGCTCCCCTCACCCCCCGGCCCGCCCTTCCTCCTCCTGAGACCGCGGCCCGCGCTCACCGCCTTGAGGTCCAGCACGCCATCCTTGGCCTCCTGCAGCAGCGACACGAACTTGGCGGTGAGCAGCCCCAGGCTCTTCTCGTGCCGGCTGCTGCCGGGCCCGGGCGGCGCGCAGCTCGCGGGCTCGGCCGCCGCCATCGCGTCCCCGCGCTCCGCCACCTGCCGGGCCGGACCCGCGGCGGCCGAGGCCGTCGCCGCCCGCTAAGGGCGGGACGAGGGTTCGCGGGCTCCCGGCAGCTACAGGTGCGCGGCGCCCACCCGCCTGGGGCCTCGGCCCCTCCCCTCCCCTTCACGAGCCCTGGGCAGCGACGAGGGGGCCGCGACCGGGGGGCGGAGTGAGAGCGCGAGCCGGCGCGCCGGGGGCGGGGCCCGCCTTTAAATGGCCGGAAGTGACGAGCGGCCCGCCGGCGCTGGGAAACTCGCTTCTCCGAAGGCGGGAGGGGAGGGTGGGGCGGGGGCGAGGCGGTATGGTGGGCGGGGTTATGGTGGGCGGGGAGGGGAGGGCGGGGCGATAGGGCGGGGTGTGAATGAGGGCGGGGCGACAGGGCCGTGGGGGGCGACGGGGTGTGTGGGGCGGGGCGACGGGGTGTGTGGGGCGGGGCGACGGGGCGGGGTGGGGCGAAAGCGGGGGTTGCGGTGGGGCGACAGGGCGGGGCGGGAGGTGGATTCCAGGACTGGGAAAAGGGGCTTCAGTTCAGTTTAGTTCAGTCGCTCAGTCGTGTCCGACTCTTTGCTACCCCCTGGACTGCAGCTCACCAGGCCTCCCTGTCCATCACCAACTCCCAGAGTTTACTCAAACTCATGTCCACTGAGTCGGTGATGCCATCCAACCATCTCATCCTCTGTCGTCCCCTTCTCCTCCCACCTTCAATCTTTCCCAGCACCAGGGTCTTTAACAATGGGTCAGTTCTTCGCATCAGGTGGCCAAAGTATTGGAGTTCCAGCTTCACCATCAGTCCTTCCAATGACTATTCAGGACTGATTTCCTTTAGGATGGACTGGTTGGATCTCCTTGCAGTCCAAGGGACTCAAGAGTCTTCTCCAACACCACAGTTCAAAAGCATCAATTCTTCGGCGCTCAGCTTTCTTTATAGTCCAACTTTCTGTTTAACATCAGTGATTTCCAATACCCTGTCTTCCAGGTTGCTGATCCATTCCTCTGTATTATTTAGTCTACTGTTGATTTCTTCTAGTGTATTTTTCACTTCAGTTTTTATATTCTTCATCTTTGGTTGTTATCTGTATTTTCTAACTCTGCTGTTAAATACTTCTAGTTCTGCACTAAGGAATTACATTCTTTACCAAGTTCTTTGAGGATCTTTAAAATCATTCATCCTGAGTTCTTTCCAGGTCGATTGCCTATCTCCACTTCTTTTTCTGGTGTTTTATCTTGTTCCTTCATTTGGAATATGTTCCGCTGTCACTTTATTTTGCCTGACTTGATGTTTTATTTCTGTGTATTTGGTAGGTGGCTTATATTTCCCAACAGTAGCTTCTTGTAGGAGACACAGCTATGAGTCCCAGCAGTCTTCTCCCCTCTTGTCACAAGAGGTAAATGCTCTGGTGGTACCTCGATGTGGGCTGCTAGGGTCCTTCTGTTGTGTCAGGCTGACTACTGTGGGCAGTCTGCTAGGCTTGGTTAGTCCCTGGTCCATCTGGTGGCCGGGCCCTGCCTTGTGTGGAGGCTGCTGACCATTGGTTGTTGAGACCAGGTCATGAGGTAAGCTGGCTGCAGAAGCTCACTCACCAGTGCAGTGGGCTGGGTCAGGTTCCAGGAGACCCTAGGGTTGGTTACTGCCCACTGGTGGGTGAGGCCATGTCTTGGGGCTGATGCTAACCTTTTCGTAGGCATAAGCACATCCCGAGGTCCACTTGCAGGGCCCGTGGAGTCCCAGAGCTGTTACTGGATAGTGCTGGTTACTGACGCCCCTCTAATGTGTTCTGTAGCTGGTGTGGGCCTGCTGGTGGGCGAGGTCAAGGCCCCCCAGTCCCAGGGCTCATGCTGGACTGTTGGTGGGTGGGCTGGGCTCATCGACTGTGGGGGTTCAGTTGTCCTGGGGTTAGGATTAGCCCTCTGGCCTCTGAGGCTTGGTTCCAAGGCAGGCTCACTGGTGGGCAGGACCAGGTGCCTGCTCATTGGTATTGGTGACTGAGGGCTGGTGGGTAGGGGTAGGGCTGGGTCCTGAGGCTTATGAGCTAGAGGGAAGGTTCCAAGTGGGCACTTGGCCAGCAGCAGTGTCCATGGGGTAGAAATGAACTTCTTCCCTAGAATGGCTTCTGCCAGCGCCTAGGTCCCTAGGGCGAGTTCCAGTTGCCTCCTCCCTCTCCAGGGAACTCTCCCAAGATCCCCATGTAGGTCTGATCCAGGCTCCTTTCAAACCCTGCTTCTGCACCGGGTCCCCAGTGTATGAGTTTGTGCACACCCTTTAACAGTGTAGTCATTTTTATGTTTCTCTACCTTGGAGACGTGACTGTCTCTGCTGGCCCTCCTGGGTGTCCCCAGTGTCCTCTCCTCTCATCACCCAAAGGCTAGGGGCCAGCTGGTCCTAGGAAAGTGTCTGGCCTGCATGCGCGGACTCAGCCTGCAGGCTTTGGGACTTTAGCTTTCTTACTTCTGGTATCTTGTGTCCGGTGGTTAAGGCTTGTCTAGAGGCTTGTGCTTACTTAACTTGTATGCAGAGTACATCATGAGAAAGGCTGGGCTGGAGGAAGCACAAGCTGGAATCAAGACTGCCAGGAGAAATAGCAATAACCTCGGATATGCAGATGACATCACCCTTATGGCAGAGAGTGAAGAAGAACTAAAGAGCCTCTTGATGAAAGTGAAAGAGGAGAGTGAAAAAGTTGGCTTAAAACTCAACATTCAGAAAACTAAGATCATGGCATCTGGTCCCATCACTTCATGGAAAATAGATGGGGAAACAGTGGAAACAGTGTCAGACTTTAATCACTGCAGATGGTGACTGCAGCTATGAAATTAAAAGACGCTTGCTCCTTTGAATAAAAGTTATGACCAACCTAGACAGCATATTAAAAAACAGAGCCATTACTTTACCAACAAAGGTCCATCTAGTCAAGGCTATGTTTTTTCCAGTAGTCACGTATGGATGTGAGAGTTGGACTATAAAGAAAGCTAAGTGCTGAAGAATCGATGCTTTTGAACTGTGGTGTTGGAGAAGACTGCTGAGAGTCCCTTAGACTGCAAGGAGATCCAACCAGTCCATCCTAAAGGAGATCAGTCCTGGACGTTCATTGGAAGGACTGATGTGGAAGCTGAAACCCCAATACTTTTGCCACTTGATACAGAGAACTGACTCATTTGAAAAGACCCTGATGCTGGAAATGATTGAAGGCAGGAGGAGAAGGGGATGACAGAGAATGAGATGGTTGGATGGCATCACCGACTCAATGGACATGAATTTGAGTAAACTCTGGGAGTTGGTGATGGACAGGGAGGCCTGGCGTGCTTCAGTCCATGGGGTCCCAACAAGTCCGACATGACTGAATGACTGAACTGACTGACTGAGAGGCTTTGTGCAGGCTTCTGCGCAGGAGAGGCTGGTACCTACCCCTCGCGGGTGGAGCTGGGTCTTGGCTCCATGGTGGGCAAGACCATGACTAGGGGTGTGTCTAGAGGTGGCTGTGGGCTCAGGAAGTCTGTCTGCTGACAGGTGGGGCTGTGTTGTTTGGCCTGAGGCATTCCATCACTAGAGTCTACAAGCTGTTGGGTGGGGCCATGTCTACTGATCCAAGCAAGATGTCTGCCTCCAGTGAATTCACGTAGATGAACACTGCCCTGTGTCTCTGCCATCACTATGTATGTCCCCGGGGCGGGGCAGAGCTGCCCCTTGCCTCCCTAAGAAACCCTCCAAGACCAGCAGGTAGGTCTGGTCTTCAATTCAGTTCAGTTGCTCAGTCGTGTCCGACTCTTTGTGACCCCATGAACCGCAGCACGCCAGGCCTCCCTGTCCATCACCAACTCCTAGAGTTTACTCAAACTCATGCCCATCGAGTCGGTGATGCCATCCAGCCATCTCATCCTCTGTTGTCCCCTTCTCCTCCTGCCCACAATCCCTCCCAGCATCAGGGTCTTTTCCAATGAGTCAGCTCTTCACATGAGGTGGCCAAAGTACTGGAGTGTCAGCTTCAGCATCAGTCCTTCCAATGAACACCCAGGACTGATCTCCTTTAGGATGGGCTGGTTGGATCTCCTTGCAGTCCAAGGGACTCTCAAGAATCTTCTCCAACACTACAGTTCCAAAGCATCAATTCCTCGGCACTCAGCTTTCTTCACAGTCCAACTCTCATATCCATACGTGACCACTGGAAAAACCATAGCCTTGACTAGACAGACCTTTGTTCGCAAAGTAATGTCTCTGCTTTTTAATATGTTATCTAGGTTGGTCATACTTTCCTTCCAAGGAGTAAGCGTCTTTTAATTTCATGGCTGCAATCACCATCTGCAGTGATTTTGGAGCCCCCCAAAATAAAGTCTGACACTGTTTCCACTGTTTCCCCATCTATTTCCCATGAAGTGATGGGACCGGATGCCGTGATCTTAGTTTTTTGAATGCTGAGCTTTAAGCCAACTTTTTCACTCTCCTCTTTCACTTTCATCAAGAGGCTTTTTAGTTCCTCTTCACTTTCTGCTTTAAGGGTGGTGTCTGGCCTTGGCACCTGTCAAATTGCTGCTTTCTCTGTTGGTCCTGGTACACATGAGATTTTGTGTGTACCCTTTAAGAATGAAGTCTCTATTTCTCCCAAACCCTGTGAAGCTTCTGCAGTCAAGCCTCAATGGTCTGCAAAGCTGAATGCTCTGGGGGTTTCTCTTCCTGGTGCTGCACTCCCAGTCTGGGGGCTCTGATGAGGGGCTCAGAGCTCTCATTCCTGTGGGAGAACCTCTGTAATACAATTATTCTCTAGTTTGTGGGTGGCCCACCTTGTGGGTATGAGATTTGATTATGTCATGGGTCTGCCTCTCTTGCCACTCATTTGGTTCCTTCCTTATGTCTTTAGCTGTAGAGATTTTCTGGTAGAGTTCAGTCTTTTTAAGTGATGGTTATTCTGCAGAATGTTGTGGTTCTGGGGTGCTCCTGAGAGGAGGTGAGCTTAGGTTCCCTCAACTCTACCATCTTGAC